CAAGGTCCCCTTTTTGGGGACATCCGTGTACAGGCACCGCTGCTGCACACAAGCCAGCACGTACTGCCCTAGCAGAGCTCCTTGCAAAAGCCTTGCAGCCGGTTTGCAGTTTGTTTGGTTTCGTGAAAGCCAGGCGGGATTGCCCAGCTGGATGTGCCGGAGCTGTTACGGCTGAGCAAGTCGGCACCCATCAGCTGAGCCGCGCCAGGACACCGCGTGCTCCTTTGTAGTCCATCCCAGCGGTACAGTCATCCCAAACGGCCCGGTTTGGTGGGTGCTGTCGGTAAGGGGCGGTGTACTCAGGGCGAGTACAACCGAATGCTGCTTCGCAACAGCAATTCGTGGCATAAGAAACATGGTATTTCCCCTTCACCTCCTTTAACTCACTGATCAAAGAGGTCCTTCATCAATGGCTTAAATTCACAGGTTGATTGCAAACTTTTCGTTTTAGGAGAAGGTGTAAGACTTTGCCCACAAAGGTGCTGGTGTGGGTTTTGTCTTTGGTCACCCCTGGGGCCTCCAGGAGAAGCTGCAGTCCTGCCTTTGTTTAGCGGGGATGGGGAGGTTTGTTAACTGTCAAAGTTAAACTGGAAACACACCCCAAACCTAGGAAGACTGCAGAACACAAAGGCATTTGTAAACTAATGTAATTACTTTCCTCAATGCCTTTGAATAAAGTTGGCTCCACTTTAAAGGCTTTTTCCTACTCTTGTTTTACATTATGTTCTTTCCTTTCTCCTGTTTTCTTTCTTTTTTAATTTCTGTCTTCACTGCTGTGCCCTCCCCGTTTAGCTCCAAGCAGCTGTTAATTTCCAAAATGTTTATCAGTTTTCGTTAGCAAAACTTGGCGTTTGGACATTTTCCTTTTGAAGGTGAGAATAACACCCTGGGAAGATGGATATCTGCTGCGCTGGTGTCTCGCGGCACAGAGCCCATCTGAGTGCCTGGGAGACCTCCCCGGGGCAGGACTGGGCTTGCCCAGCTGGCCAGCGTGCCACGGCACCCAGCACCCACAGCCGGCCAGTGTGCTGGCCAGCCCATCCCTGTGGCATCCGGGGCCTTGTGACATTGTCTGAGGCCTTATTTTAACTCAGCCTGATGTTTTTCAGATTCCTCCGGGGTTTGTCCCATCCAGATGTGAGCAGAGGTCAGAGCGAAGAGGGGCAGGTGGGGAAACTGAGGATGAAACCGAGCCCGGCCCCACACGTGGCTCGTGTGTGTTACTGGTGCTTGTTGGGGTAATCATGGCCAGAGCAGGTCTGTTGCGAGGGAAATAGCTGGATGTGGAGCTGCTGTGTTGTACGGCAGAAGTACTTAATAATAAAACAGTTAAAGATACTGCACGATTTAAAAGGGATATGTTATCCGTCCTGGGTCATTGCCCCGCGCTGTTTTCCTTGTCTGGATGCAGCTCATGTTGCAGAGCCTGTAAGGTCAGTGAAGAGCCATGTGCTGGTGCTTGGGGGGTCTAGATCAGGCCCTTTGGCCGCAGTGGCCCTGCCAGGCTCACAAGCTACACAGGCTTGTGCGTGCTGTGAACCAGAGCTGGATGGAGGAGGAGTTTTTCGTGGAAAACAGTGACCTTTTGTACAAAAGCAAAGTGCAGACTGAGCAGTTTTAGTTTTCCAGTGAGTTAACACTTTTTGCAGGCCTTTTCCCTGAAAAGCCAGATTGATCTGAGAAGCCCCCCTTTCCTTCTTTACTTTTCCTTATTCTGGAACATCCTGACTGGGCTGTGCCAGCCCAGCTGCCGGCCGCTCGCTTGCGGGGCTTGGAAATGCCGTCGGCAGCCGGCTGAGCACAGAGGCAGGGGCGCTGGTGCCTGCGCCCCATCCCTCCCAGGCTCGGCTCTCCTGTGCGGGGAACCAGGCACATCCCACGGGGAATGGGTGATGGACGAGAGAGGGTGTTTGCACAAGCCTGGATTAACATCGGCCCGGGCAAGGGGCATCCTTCTGCTCTGCATCTGCACTCTGGCTGGACCTCTTGAGATAGGAGCGATGCCCCAGATGAAAGGGTCTGCACATTCCCCTGGTTCAGGTTTGGCTCCAGGAGAGATGGTGGGTGTAAAGGCAACAGCAGTGGAAGCCACCGATAGATGGGCGTAAGGAAGGGATTTTTTCCCCACGAGATGTCCCATGTGCGCTGGGCAAGGACTGGCAGCGGCCTCCACTCCATTCCCTCTATGAGCGCCCGTGTAGAAGGTCCCCTTGGCTGATGCGGATCCAAAGCAAACCCTTTCGGGTTATTTCAGGCAACAGAACACAGGTTGGAGCCTGTTATATTTATTTTGTTTTACTTTTCAAACCAAATTGCCCATCCCTGCTGAGCTATGTTGCTGGTGCGATGGGAGCCAGTTCCTGTGGACCTGCTAAGACTAAATCAAAAACTTCCCAGCGGAAGCAGGAGCGGAGCTGGGCACGTACATCCCGCCGCGTTGGGCTCCGGGGAGGCAGCGCCCGGGCTGCCGAAGGAAAAACTCGCATCCCTGCTTTTTGCCCAGGGTGAGCGTCTCACAGCTCATTGCTTTAGGGACCGGAGCAGCCTGATGGAATTTGGCGGCTCTTCAAAAAAGAAAGTCATTTCTTGTCTCCACCAACTTCAAGGACTCAGTTGGGCAAAACAACTTCATTGCAAGAAAAAAAAAAAAAAAACAACCAACCTGAGCGCAGGGGAAAGCGAGCAGCCCATCCGCACATGGGGAATTTGGCAAGAGAAGTCAGCAGGCATCTGTACCGGCCGGGAAGGTGCAGCATGGCAGCACGGTAGCCTGGCAGTATGGTAAAAGGTATGGCAGCCGCGGCACCTCCGGGAGATTTTCAGCTGCAGTCTCTGCTACGGACTAGCTGCATGAACTCAGGGAGCTCATTTAACGTCATTATGCTGCAAATAGTCCTTTCCAGTGTGTATATTTGCTACCTTGTGTAGCATGTCGTAAGGATTTAAGTGTTTTTAATGTGCTTTGATGTCCCTGGATGAAGAATGCTCTATAAATGCAAAGTAAGTATTCTAATGTACGTAGTTTGTTTTCTTTTTAACGTAACAAAATCCTTCGCAGCCTTTCTTTCCTTGACAGTTTCCATAGCTGGTGGGTCTGTTTCTGCTGTGCCTTAGCAAAACAAATTTAGGGTTTCAGAGTGGCATATGCTCAGCATGTTCCTCAGATTCATGACCCGAGCAGTTCCCTTGTCGTCAGCACTGCAGAGTTATGGGTGGAGATCTGCTAAAAATCTCTCTTTCTGCAAAACCTGATGATAGGAAAAGGTGGATGTTACGGTCAGTTTGGGGAGAAAACCATATACTGAGACTAGAAACGGTTGCAAGCACTAGCTCTGTATGAGATCAGGGAGTGAGCTGAATACAGAGTAATTATTCCTGAATAATGCCAGTTTTGGATATTTATTCTGGAATAAAAAGTGATTTCTTCCTGTAGAAGGTAACTCCCTGTATGAGCCAGCCTCCTGTCAGCCAGCCCCATTCCTTGCCTCTCCATCCCCATCCCTCATGGTGACCCGCGGTAGCTTGTCATCCTGCAGATGCTGTGGAGTTGTGCGGGCAGAGAGGGCTTCTCTGGGGAAAGCCAGCTCGGATGGTGCTTTCTAGGCCAAAGCCCAAACGTACAGCGAGGGAAAAAGCTGATCAGAAGCCACTGCAAAGCAAGCGTCGTTTGGGAAAAGCCCTGCGAAAGCTGCAAGGAGTGCAGCCGCTCTGAAACAAATTGCTGCAGAGTCTGAGAGCCTCTGAGCTCTGAGGGAGCACCTCAGGGGGGTTAATCCCACCACGGCAAAGGCAGAAAGCTGTGTGCACTGGGAAAATGCTTTGCATCTCTCTAGCCAAGTGCAGGCTTAAGGAAGCCATCCAGCTCCCTGCTCCTGTCCCAGCATCTGGAAGTGTCCAGGACTGCAGAGACTCCCGATCCCAGCCGAGCAGCGAGAGCTTTCCCTCGCCTTTACCTTCTCCTGCTTCTTCCCGAGCCATTTGGAAGCTGATCCTCGGCCAGGGAGTCCCATCCCGGTGCCTGGCCCGGCCCTTGGGTACATGTCCCAGGTGTGGCAGTTGGAGGAGAGACACTGGGGCTCGGGGTGTGCTTCCTTTCCGGGCTGCCACCGGGCTCCTCCAGCGCCGGGGCACGCCGTGCCCCACTGTGCTGCCTTTTTAATAGCTGATTTTAATTATACACTCTGAGACGAAAGAGAAAAACCAAGCCTTCCAACAGATTGTATCTGCTGTTTATTTCCACAAATTGCTGCAGAAAAAAGCCCGGAGGGTTTTGATGGAGGTGGAGGCTGAGATAGCCGGCAACACGGAGGCTGCCGGGGCGCAGCCTTTTTAACCTCCCCTGCCGAGGCAGGTGCCGACACATCCCCGCAGCCGGCGAAACATGCTAACGCTATGGAGGCTGACCGAGCAAACGGTAACGAGCTCCGCCGCCTCGCCGCGGCTGCCTCCCCTCTTTCTCGGTGCAGAAAAGGCAATAAAACCAAAGCTGCGCCTGGCTGCGATTCCCTGCTCGAAGTCATGGGGAAGACCCAGAGCCCGCGGGCTCAGGGGGTGGCTGCTGGCCGGGCACGGGGGCACGGGCTCGGCCGGGGAGCCCCACTGCAGTCCCCTCTCTTGCTCCGTAGGTGCACCAGTACTACAGCTGCCTGCCTGAGGACAAGGTCCCCTACGTCAACAGCCCAGGAGAAAAATCTCGCATAAAGCAGCTTTTGCACCAGCTGCCACCGCACGACAATGAGGTTCGTAACCGAAGTGTCCTCGGACATGCGACAGGGCTGCGGGTGGAGCGGGGAGGTACCTCCTGGGGTTGCTCTCGTTGGAAGCATGGCTGGTCCTTTCTCAGCCCTTTCTGCTTTGCGGGGGGATTTGCTTGGAGTTTGGTCATGCTGCTGTTTATGTGCCATATTTGCTACCTGCTTGCATTGTGTTGGAGGTGCAGGGGGGTCGGTTGTTTCTGAAGTTAAAATTTTTTAAATCATCTTCCTTCGTTTCTCTGCAATAAAAGCACTTTCACAGCCCTCGGAGGCCAAAGCCGTGTTAAAAGCGGCTTGAAATGCTGTTGAGATCAGCTAGAGCCAGATCCGAAGCTGCAACAGCCTTTTCCCAAGTGCTGCTTCCGACTCACCTTGGGAGTGGGTGAGGAGGGGATTCACTCAAGCTGAGCCTCGCGAGCTGGGAGAGCCTGGCAAGCCAGAGGTTGGGTCAAGACCAGTCAGAGCAAATAAACCTTCTCACGTTTCGCAAGCAAGACGTGAGGCAGCAAAAAGGGTCTGGTCTTTGACATCCTGTTCTCGCCAGTGAGAACACGGGCTTCTGGTAGCCCGCAAAATTTCCCTGTGTAAACAAAAGAAGTTATCTTCATGCTGCTTTCTGAAGAAGCCGCTCCGGAAAGTATGTGCAGGTAACTTGTTTGATCTAGGTCAGATTTTAACAAGTTTGCCTGCGCGTGGCTGGGTGCCATTACTGCTGCCAGCGCCAGGGGAGCTCCAGGCACCAGGCAGGGGCTTCTTCCCGTACACCCTCGGGCCCCAACCTGCCCGCCTGCCTTCCCTGGCAGCCGCTGAAAACCCACAGCATCCTCAGCAGCAGCAGAACATAGGAATAAACGCACACGAACGCTGCTACTGCAGCCGGTGCTGCCGCAAGCTGGAGGCACGAGCCTGCGTGAATGTTCTGCAAATTGCCAGATTTTGCATCCAGTTCCCCCTCGTGCTCAGTTTTGCTCCTTTGAAAATGCAAGATGTGTTGGTTGCTCCCCTGAATAATCTTGCTGGGCTCCATGAGCCTGCTCTCCAAAGTAATGGAGGCTGGGTCGTGCACTGGTGCTACACATGGCCACCTTGGCTCTTCAGTCGTGTTCTCCATTGAGATGCAATCAGACAAGAGCTAAGCCTGCAGGATGAAAATAGCCAGGAAAACCTCAGAGTTGTATAAGCTTCGGGGAAATTGCATCGTTCATTGTTTGTATCCTTTTATTTCATTTATTTCCTTATTACCTTCCAACGCAGAGGTTTTGCATATGTGCAAACTTGACCCTACGCTGGAAGAGTAGTTGGAGTTCCCAAATAGCTGGAACTCCATCATTTACACAGGGAAATGGGCTGCTCTCTTGAAATGCCAATAAAACATTTTGAAGCTGCTATAAGACCTCTGCCATAAGGAGAAAGCAGGAGAAACATCAGTCTGATTGCTGGGTCTGGGTGGGACTCAGAGGACCCAACTTTTAAGACTTTCCTAGAAACCTAGCAGCCGAAGAGCAACCTTCCTCCTGCCCTTTCTTCTCATCTCTACCTCTTGAAATTTTGGCCAAACCCTGGGATGACTGAAGCCCAGACAGCTGTGTTTCTCCAGCCTCCCCTAAGCCCAGGATGGAGTTTGTTTGCGTAACCCCTTGCAGAGGTCTGCAGAGCCCGTGGGACTGTGGCTCGCTGGCTGGGGAGCTGGGGACAACCCTAACACTGAGCATCGCTTGTGTTTCTTAGGTCCGCTATTGCAATTCGTTGGATGAGGAGGAGAAGAGGGAGCTCAAACTCTTCAGCAATCAAAGGAAGAGGGAAAATTTAGGGAGAGGCAACGTTCGGCCATTCCCCGTAACCATGACGGGAGCTATCTGCGAGCAGGTGGGTAGCAGCTAACGAACTGGCGCGAGTGGGGCAGCTTTTTAATCACCAAAGTTAAGCGAAGCTTGCAGGAGCAGCACTCACCCCGTGCCCCCCACAAGCTACAAGCACCGGGGTCCTTCGGGGCACGTGCCAAGAGCCCCGCAATATTTGATGTGGGGCAGTCACGCCAGCTCCTGGCCGGGTGCAGGGGGGAAGCTATTGAAATCCTGGCCACAAAGTGGAGATGAAAGGAGTAAGAGATACCAGAAAGAAGCTGTGAATTAGCACCTTCTTCTGCCGCGGTTGTGAAAGCAGCTGGTTGGCAACGGGCAGCAGCGGGCTCACCCACCCTCGTTAAACCCTGGCTTTCCTCACAGTGCGGGGGCCAGATCAACGGAGGGGACATGGCCGTCTTCGCCTCGCGAGCGGGGCACGGCATTTGCTGGCACCCTCCCTGCTTCATCTGCAGCGTCTGCAACGAGCTGCTGGTCGACCTGATCTACTTCTACCAAGATGGGAAGATCTACTGCGGCAGGCACCACGCCGAGTGCCTCAAGCCCCGCTGCGCGGCATGCGACGAGGTAAGAGATAGCTTGCCCCGGCTTCTGCCCGCTTAAAAGATACATCCCACCATGGATGCCGCCCGTGGGGATGGCACGAGAGGGTTCCCCTTGCCAGCTGTATTTCCACTCCGTCACCCCGGCCTCTGCACAGAGGCATGCACACGAGGTACGACGGTTCGGCTTCACCAAGGGTTCGTGCAGCCTTTCCTGGGGTTTCAGGCAGGCGTCTCGGGGGTTTTTCGTTGCAATCTGCCCAGGGCTGTCCTGAGAGAGATCCTTGATAAACGCAGCGAGCTGGGGGGCTTTTCATGAGCGTTTCCACTAGCAGCACCCCACCTCGTGCTGTGGGATTTTAGCCCAGCTGGGGGGGGTCCTCCCTTCTCCACTGCCTCCCCAGAAGAAGCCTCTGGTGGGATGAGGGCTGTGTTTCCTACAAGACGGTAGTGTTAGACTACACGAAATAAATAGGCTTGAAGAGAGGAGATGAACAGGCTATAGGAAGCTGAAAAATGGAATACAAAATGAATATAGGAAACCGTACAGAGTCGCCTCTGAGCGTTTCTCAAGTGTCAATCTCTGTTTAAAAGGCTGGTGAAGGAAATTGTTCTGGCTTTTAAAGTTATGAAAACCATAGTGTGGAAAACCATATGTACTATAAAATACCATGTCCCATCTATGCAAGCGTGTAATAGTAAATATCCAAGGCTATATGCACTTCAAGTATAAAGAACATTGACGTATGTATCCAATTAAATTTGTAATGTTACCAGTAAAAAAACAACTCCTAACCATTCAACTGGCCCTATTTCCTTGTGGCTTAGGCTGGGTAATTTTTTTTCATGTACTTTTTATCCTTGCAAATTCTCATACAAGTCTTTCATTCAGCTGCTTCTTTAACACGCGCTTCTTCCCCTGAAACATCCGGCACTAATTGTGAGGAGGAGTAACTCGGGGGTAAGAGGAGCTGCAGGGGAAAAGCTTTCGGTGCAACTGTGCCGGGGCAGAGAGCCAGGGAGCAGCGCCGGGCTGCTGCTTGCTCCCCTGGCTTGGCTTTGGGAGCAGAGATGGGGTGGGGATGGCAAGTAGAGACAGCAAGAAGGCATCTGCTGAAACTGTTTTAGGTGGCTGTTCCACTAGCTCACCCTTAACAGCCCTCCGTGCCTCGGTTTCCCCACTGGTACAATGACTGCGATCATCTTGATAAGCACATGGGCTGGGGTAGAGGGGATGGTGCGGAGCCACGTAGCTCTGTCTTCTCTCCCCCCCAGAGAGCTGCCGTTTCTCCTTGTGTTTTCGCTCATTCTTTGTACTCGGGTCCGTGGTTCAGGGACGGGTAAATGTGTTTCAGTAAGTGGCTGCTCTGTTCTTCAGAAGTCCACCAGATCGATAGGTTGTATATAAGCATGTTTATTACCCTGATCGACCCCTCCTGCTGATGGATGTGCTTACGAGCAAGTTACTGCGAGCTCTGGCTTCATGCTCTCTAGTCTGTGCACTAACGCAGTCCTGAGGTATTTGCATTTTAATGGATTTCCTTGAGAAGTGATGGGTGTCCCTGCCGCGAGCCAAGCTATGAGAGTTTCCCGTGCAGGACAGGAGGATTAGCTGTAAAATTTGGAGGTTTTATGAGCAAAGGGGCACAGCTGCCGTGCACCAGCAGGAAACACGAAGGTTGTTGCCTGCGTCCCAGGTCCCCTCTCTGACCGGCTCCGCTCCCCGTTTGTGTTTCCCCTCCTCCAGATCATTTTTGCCGACGAATGCACCGAGGCCGAAGGGCGGCACTGGCACATGAAGCACTTCTGCTGCTTTGAATGCGAGACGGTGCTGGGGGGGCAGAGGTACATCATGAAGGACGGCAGGCCCTACTGCTGCAGCTGCTTCGAGTCCCTCTACGCCGAGTACTGCGACACCTGCGCCCAGCACATCGGTACGTCCCGCCGTCCCTCGGCCCCGGGCGAGCGCGGTGCGGGAGGGGAGGGGGCAAGCCTCTGCTTGGAAGGTTGTTTCTGGCAACAAGAGCTGTTGCATTAAGTCTTTGACAACGACTCGGGGCTGCACGCAGGCAAGGCTCACCGCCGCG